TAAAAAGCACTACCATTTTTTTTACGGAAATTTCAATTACCCATTCAATATAGCGACAAATGACGTCACGGCCACGTGGCATATACGTTGAAGTTGACATCGTTTATTCGTCAAGTTGAAATCGTGAATTCGTGAAGTTGAAATCGTGAATTCATGAAGTTAAAATCGTGAATTCACGAAGATTAAATCATGAAATCGTGAAGTTGAAATCGTAAATTTTTCACGAAGTTGAATTCATGAAGTTGAAATCGTGAATTCGTGAAACTGAAATCGTGATTTCATGAAGTTGAAATCGTGAATTCATGAAGTTGAAATCGTGAATTCGTGAAGTTGAAATCGTGAATTCGTTAAGTTGAAATCGTGAATTCACGAAGTTGAATTCGTGAAGTTGAAATCGTGAATTCATGAAGTTGAAATCGTGAATTCATGAAGTTGAAATCGTGAAATTTTCGTGAAAGTTGAAATTTGCGAAAATTTTTGAAAAATGAAATCGTGGGAAATTGTGAAAATTCCCCAAAAGTTGGGAAAACCCTGAATTAGGGAAAATTAAAAATGTGAATTTTTTTGAAGATTTGTAAAAAGGGAAATTTAAAGGGAAATGAAATAAACCCCGGTTTTCTAAAATTTGTTTTACAAATAGTACCCTTTTGGGCCAAAATAAAGGTTTGAAAACGGTAGATTGGGGAAAAAAATCAACCTTTTTTTAAAAATAATGGTTTTTTATCTAAAATTTAAATTAGTCCCTACAAAGAACAAATTTTCGGGATATAATATAAATTTGAAAATTGATAAAAAATATCAAAAAGTCAAGGCGGCGGGTTTAATAAAGCAACCCGAAAAGGGACCAACAAAGAAACGCGGCCAAAGGGGACCCGTAGGGAAACCCAAACAAAACAGGACAGGGAACAAGGCAGAGCAGAGACAGGACAATCACATAAACGACACCCAAAATAAATAATAGCAACCGACAATGAAATCAAAGCAAACAAATAATTGATAGATTAACAGGCCCACAAAGTAAAAGGACAAAGGGGAAGGGGCAAAAGAGAAAATACTTAAAAACCGTCCATCTACATGTATATTCTGGAAAACACTTTTGTTTGTTTCACTTTTTGACACTATATCCTAAATGATCTGTAGAAATGCTTTGTCCTCAATTGGATAACGTTTCTTGTACAAGGAAATGCTCATAATATGAAATTTGTTGTTTTTGTTTTATTTCTATACAATATAACTGGATATAAATATGTTCAGGTATTTTCCTCATTTTCTATAATATTTTCTTGATTAACAAAAAAGTTGTAGTTATTTGAAATATATATCCCCGCAAACTCAGATGCTTATAATTTCATGCATTTTTGGCTAAAAAGATGTTTTACGTTTTCCCCAAGATATTTAGGCTCAATGTATTTAGCAGTTCATAAAGATTATTTATCTTTACACATTAATTTAAACAGCCACGCTACTTATAAATATTTATTTGATTTCTTTGTAGCAAAAAAATCAATAAGATTTTGATTTGTTACTATCAACTCTCGTAATAAGCATTGCAAATGTTGAGGGACGACGAAGGCCCTGGAAAAGATTTTGCTGCTTTTTCAAGAGATGTGGTCAGCAAACGTACTCTTGTGTTCAGATCGGAAGTAGATGTCCCTGTCGAAGAAATCATATGATTCTCATGCAAACACATAGAGGAAATGAAAGGGAGGAAATTTTGCATTACATTCGTGTATATAATGGCATCTTTGGATTAATTACAGCGATCCCTCTTAGTTACAGTGATAACAAAATATGATGAATAATTCAAAGATTTATACTGTTTTACAGAATAAATGTATCTTTACAGATTTATTATGCTCTCAAATAAGTGCGTAAGGTTTCATTAGTTTTAAGACGACAAAACCGACACTGACGCCAGTGTACATGTATTAGACTCACATTATGTCTTCTTGCTAAAAAAACCTGTGTTTTATAATGGTTTTATAATGAATGAGCATTTTTAGATGTTTAACATGCGAAATAATCGTAAAATGCACGATTTATTGTCAATGATTTGATGTAGCAAAATGTAAACAAAGTGGCATTTTGTCTTTCATATTTAAATCCCTTAAAAGCGTTTTTTGTTTTGGTATTGGATAGCATAAGGAAATGGTACTTTTTTGCAAATAAAGTCCTGCATGTTTTCTTTTATATTTGAAAGACCCTGTATGCACAAATTCAGATAAGTCCAAATTAATTGCTTATATTCACCGTTGCATGTTTTAATTATAAAAAAAATAAAAAATAGTATATAATTATGCGTTTAAAACAATTTTTAAACATCAAAGAATATGTAAAATATGTACTGCAAATATTTGTTCATATTATATGTAATCATTTAAATACAATGTATACAGTATGCATTCATTTCTTATTTAAAAATTTGACTAAGCCTTTATAGAAAATAAATTTCTAATTACCTCCTTTACTCACATTTAAATGTAAATTCGGTAATAACTTTACAAATAATGCTTTTTGGAACTTACAATATTGATAAATCTTCATTTGAGCATAAAACCATAAAACATTGTGTTTCAAGATCTTTTATTCTGATTTAAACTATTATACTTCCAATATCACTTTTGCCATACGCAGTGTGCGCATGCAATAAATGACACATCTGTTTCTAAGCAAATATCGGAATGTAAAATGATCTATTAAAAAGGTTATACTTCATATTTGAATACTATCATGGCAGTCAGAGTTGCGTACCTTTCACCAACGTAACGCATCAAACAATAGTCATATTCAAAGTGTCATGGTTTACTTGTGATATATATCAGCAGAGTGGCGCAGTGGAAGCGTGCTGGGCCCATAACCCAGAGGTCCGAGGATCGAAACCTCGCTCTGCTAGAACCTTTTAGTTTCTTTGTTTGAAAGCATAAACTTATGTAAATACAAGCTCTCATATATACCCACAATGCCTAACTGACATTCACCTCTTCAAGCACTCGAGTGTGATATCCTATAATAAACGACCGACCCATTAAACGTGTACATATATTTTAATATTAAACTCAATGGTTATTTCTTCTTACAAGTCTTATTTCTTCCAATATATTATGGAAGAACCACATACATATGATTTGAAATGAGTGCCATTGCGGCATATATCTCATCTACCTCTGAGTCAGACAGAGGCATATACAACCTTATTCGTAAAATGATTAAAGAGTTAGTGGTAATGATTTTACTATAAAGTCATGTCAAAATATGAAAATATGAATGTGGTAAGTGCATCGAAAAAGCTTTTTATTGACTCGCAGGTACAGGACAAAACAAGATTCACATATCTCCTGCACGCATGGAGGGATTTTAATGACACTTTATAGAAATGTTCAACACTCTGAGAAGCACACTATATGTCGCGCACATGAACCAGGTATGTAGGGTAAAGGTCAAGGAGGAATTAAGCTGCATATTTGTGAAAAATAGCCTCCTTTATAATAACAATAAGGACATGACATATAAGTGTGACCTTTGATAAAGGTGCAGGCATCTCTTTGCCCCTCTCTCTCGTATGAGAAGGAAAATCCTGTGATACGTGTATGTGGTCACACGATCACTTTCCTTCCAACATGTCCTTAATGCGTGCTTATGATCGCACAGTCGAAAATCTAAAACAAAATGACAACATTTTCAATTTTGTTTTGGTACGGAAGCGTCTTCGTGCCAAATCCTAATGTTCTATAAAAAATACTAACTCCAAACTTGTTAATTTCAATCAGAAATTCAAGAAAGCTTAATAATGACTTTTTCACTTTTGACAGGAGTAAAAAAGCCTAATTACTCTTTAAAAGGAGAAATAAAATACCTGATCAGGACTTAGTTACTCCCAGTTACAACCAATTAGGAGAAATTAGTCTAATTTTTTAATAAAGAGTTTGAAAAGCACCTTAAGATCGATCCCCAAATATCAAAACAGCATGCGATGGTGAAACGTTGCGGTATCTTTATTGCGACTTTTCACTTCGTGCTTTCGATTTATTATTATCAGCCATCAACTTTTCACCATCGGTTTTCGTTATTTTGGTCTTTCAACATCGTTATTTAGTGTTTTCATTGTTCCGAGTTGTGAATGTGCCGTGATTGCCCAAACGGAACACTGTAAAAATTATCATGTGCACGGTTTTTACCGAAGCTGCCATTTTTATCCGGATCAAAACATCTGATGAAATGGGGAAACGAGTCCAAAATAACCTGATACATGTAGTATCACCAGTCAATGGACAGTAAGTCTATATCAATGATATGCTCATAGTTTCCTTATTTGCATAATGTAACTATTCAAACCCCTATGTGTTAATAGTTTGTTCGAAGGCTATTTTATATTATTGCCAGTCATAAACTAGGCCTACAGCTTGTTTTACACAAGATCATGTCTGTTGCATGGATTAAATGTAAATTAAATAAAACACAAAGCAAAACATTTTAGGCTAATTTCATATTGTCTATCAAAGTGTAAATATTCAAGACACTACTTGTACTAAGAATGCCATAAATTGCTCCTTTATTGAAACTATTGATACTGAATTGTGCATGCATACAATATCCGGAATGTTTTACATTGCATATGTCATTACAAAATTTAAAACAAAATCAAAACAAAATAATGTACATTTGATTCACTTGAGGAGTAAATATCAATTTATTTGATTGTACATTGCCTTTTTCATTAAATGTTCGTTAGGTGTAAATGTCCCTTGTTTTCACAATTCTTAAACCGATTTAACTACTTAATCAACATGCGTGTATTGTAATAGTCAAAATAATTTCAACGAATGATTGTTCACTCATCAATTAAATCGATTGTACCTTGATTAACTACATCTTGTTTTGTGAGGCAAACATATTTAAATGGACCGTTTGAATTTTTCTTATATTTTGAATTTCTGCATTTTCATATTTCCAATTAGATTATTTGTAACAACAAGAAATGATTTATCACGTGAGACACATACCCTAAACGGATATATCATATCAATCTTGTGTGATGATAAGATATGTCCTGTTTGTGATATCTGTACAATAGAGTTTGTTCCCTTACTACAAATCAGGATAGTATCAGAGGGACCAACTGTTACACCACGAGGTTCCTTTATCTTATCATCCTTCACCACGACTCTCGTGTCTGTCTTGATATCATATATGTAGACAAGATGTTCGCATTTATCTGTTAGCACCAGTATGTCGCAGTTTTTATTATATGTACAAGAATTATTATATATAGTATATTCCTTATCAGGAAAGCTCACACTGAAATCATTCTCATTTCCTGCCAATGACACAATGCATGCAGGTCTTTTGTCATCAAAATGCCCCACGACAAATTGATCATCATCTTTTAAACATATAGAGTCATATTTCGCTTTCACTTTACAAGTTCTGTCCAATGTAATTTCATTACGTTTACTAATATGTAGAAACTCTATTATGTAGCTATTACCACTTGTTATAACTACGCCTTCCTCTGATACAGCCGCTATAGATAGTGGCGGGTAGGATAACTGATATGATCCTACTTTCTCAAGTTTCTCATTATACACCAAGCATTTCCTGTTGTAAGTATCAACAGCAACCAGTCTTCCATCGGGTAGAAGGTCTATTCCTGAATAGAACGGTTTAGCTTTGTCATCTCCTGTCTTCTTCAAATCAATAGAAGAAACAGGAGTTAATGTAATTGGCCTATTAACTTCAAATGCGAGTTGTCCCGGAACGTATTCAGAAATTAGAAATGGTGGCAACTTTAATGTTTTGTCAAAATGAAAAGTAACGCTGACCGTCTCTAAGTCTTGAAATATCTCATTCACGTTTCTGTAAAGATTAGTGGCATCATTTTCCATTTTCTTTTCTACAATAAATTGTTGCGCTAAACTTCCATTACTATATACGCTATCAATTATTTCCAAACGCGTTGTTGCATCAGATAAATAATTCTCTGTTTGCGATTGTTTTAGTGTACGTTTTTTAAGTGTTTCTTCGCGAAAAGATTTCGCTCTTTTAATGATGACAACTTCCAAATCGTTAAACATTCGAATTACTTCATTTCGCACTTGATTAATTGTTTCTGGAATTTTATTCACGTCCTGCTCCAATTTCTCATTTGAAGACATTACATGTTTGATAATGTCCTCGGCTTTTCCTTTGGTAGCCAGAAATTTTTCCTTTACCAATGAATTTGGAGACATCAATTTTCCAGCAATCTTCTGAACTTCTACAACGCTGTCACATTTACGATGATCAACTATAGCGCAGGTACTACAACATAGCTGATTTTCATCTTCGCAGAAAAATTTTATAATCTTTTTATGTTGATTACATCGGTCTAATCCTTTCATGTCAAACAAATCTTGTTTCGTTACAGCTTCATTCGCGTTCACTAATTTGTGAGTTCTGAGAATAGCAAGTACGTTGTGTACATTTGAACATTCCGTACACTGGAATTCGTTGCAAGTTAAACAAAACTTATCAGCTACAGTTTGCTCATTCTTACTTAAACATGGTTGACACAAAATGTCCTTGACACGTCTAGGTACTTTATCGTCCTCTGGTAGTGTACCCCCACTTTCCGCCATTTTGTTTATCGACGTTGGTGTTCCAGTTTTAGATTTAAGATTTATATTTAATTATTCTTGTTATCATTCAGCAAAACTGTACCAAAGACCGAAACACGGCTTAAACACTTTAATGAATCAAAATACAACATTTAAACTGGTTTAAAAAGTAAATTATTCATATTATCCTACTATCTATCCAAATGTTCATCTGTTATATGTTTAAAGTTCGTTGTTACAATCAATATTTGGAACGCGGAAGTTAAATTTACTCAATTTCTATTAATAACACTAAACAATATACGGTATATTTCTGATGATTAATGTATTATGGAAAATAAATATGAACATGTTTGTAATAGAACTATCATGTTTGTTTACATCTTTTTCATTAGCAAGATAAATGTGCACAATGATAAATTTGCAAGAATAAACTTAAGTCATATTTTAATAATATAAATTCATTAATTTTATCAACAAAAGTTTAACATACATACGTACGTACGTAGGCGCACGCGCGCGCCCACGCAAGCACGCAAACATACATACATACTGTTACGCTACGGTCCAGCTATATGGTACCAGGCAGCTTTAATCTGCTTAAAAATGTGGTAACGTGCTCAAGACTTGGTGACCAATAATCGTACTGGACTGTAGAGAACGATATTGTATTTACGAACAATGAAACGATCACAATTATAACAATATATAAAATAGAAATTGTTAGGGTTAGAGGGACTGATGATACTTGTTTCAGACGACTCTCAAAGCCTAAATATAGATCTATTTAGCTGAAATATGCTATTATGACATCTGTCAATAGTGGGCTACTCTGTATGACTCTGTATGGCTAGGACACTGTACTCCACAGTACTTGACAACACTTCCTTACTTCTGAAGGTACGCCAGTTTAAGATTAAAATTGAGTCACAAAGAAGAAAGACTGTTCACAGTTTACTAATTTTAATTAGTGTTAAACTGTTAATAAATTCAATTGTCAAATATTCAAATAACAGTATTGTAAATAACATCAGCACATGTATATAATTCAGTCTTAAATATCCGATAGCTATGTCTTACATAGACTTCACATAAATTATTACCGCGACTGCCGTTTAATTTCTATTCAAAAATTTGACAACGTAAATATAAAGTTTGGTTGAGTCAGTGACCGTATTAATGTGTAACGAATATGACAAAGTTCTTATCAATTATTCTTAGACAATAATTGATTAAATGTAAAATAATAATCTAAAGACTATGTTTTATTTTGCCTTAAAAATAAGAAAAATTTGCCGTTCAGAAGTACACGACAATAATGTAGACTAACCGAAAGTTAAATGAAAACTGACTGAAGTTGATCGTTTTCTGGCCTATTAATAGTATAGGGGCCGGTTTGGCGTCACGACTGCGCATGCGCGACGCCATATTGGATTTTATATTTAGAATGACATCATCGTTCTTTTTTTAGAATGTGATCATCCGTCTATTTTTAGAAATCTATTTTTTAATCTCCCGGAAGTATACGGAGCTGACTAGTATACACGATCTTAGGGCTTGAATCGCGGACATTGTAGGTCAGGTCCTCGGCCCTAGACGGAGAGATAATTACCATCATTACAGATAAAAGAAATGTTTGTAAATAGATACGTGCTTAATTTATAATTTAAAAAAACAAATAGTTTTTTAATATGTTTAAAATAATATTTATACATTTATGAATTATAACTCGTTTACTTACCTACATCTAGTAAGGTGATGACTGTTATTGCGTAGCGTCCTTGTAGACTGCGCATGTGCCGATCTATTTTTAGTCGCGGTATTTCACAATCACCAGGAGCTTTTTTATCACGCGGGTGTTAATAAACAAAAAGCCATTAAGTACAGCCGCCGTTCAGTCTAGATTCACAATACCTAGCGGAATGCGCGGCGCCACATTGGATTCTATATTTAGAATGACATCATCGCGCTATTTTTAGAATGTGATCATTCGTCTATTTTTAGAAATCAGCTCATGCGTATAACGTATCGCAGTGGTGACTTCAGTACGTTTTGGAGTAAACATCATTACGCAGTAAGTTGAGTTTATATTTCAAGTACAGTATTTTCAATGAAGAATGTTTAATAGAAATAGAGCGGCGTGATGAAATAGAGCACTAATGATTTTTAGTCCGTATTCATAAAGAGCGCCTTAAAACATTTCGTACGATACCAAATATGACCGGGTTATATTGACTAAGGAAGGCGTAAATCAACATTTTACGCTTGAGCGATTTTACTTCATTTCTCGGCCCCTATCCGAGTCAGCGATACAAAAGTACACATTTTCTGAATCTGGTGAGTAATACCTTTTGTTCGATACAGGTATTGATAAGATCGGTCCGTTGGTTGAGGAGAAAAAATTAATTTCACGCACGAGTGACTTGACATCCGGTGTGATCGCGTGACTAAAATGTACTCGTCAAGACCTTCAATTTGATACCAAACACGACTATGTTTCGTTCATAAACGAAAAAGTTATGCGCGTTTTTCCGCATGAGTGATTTTGTCTGCCATATTCAAACTCTCCTATCTCAGAAACGGTAAGAGATAGATCCATATAATAACACAATTTTTGTATCTACTCGCAGAGATCTTTCTAACGGTAAATACATCTAAGGGTTTTAAGGACTTTGAAAAATTGATTTAAAAAACCCAATAAAGAGCCATAAGTCGAGAACGGCTAAAAATCGGTTTATTTTGAAGCATTTGGTTAGGTCTATCAAATGAAACAAATATCTTGAAAATCGATATCGTAAAGTGTTGCATAAAAGACAAAAAGGCGTTTTTTATGTCAAAATTTATCCAGTCATCCTTCACCACTTTTCATTGGTTAATGAAAAAGAGCGGGTTCAAAACGAGGCTGTCTATTTTTAGACGTCATCGTTTTTTAAATTTCATTGGCTGATCAAAAACAGCAATACCGGTTTAAACCTGTCGTAACTCGTCATAAATAGTTTGATAGGCGAGGAGTAAAGACTGGGGTAAGCTTATTTTAGTTATTTTAATGTTTTTTTTACGCATGAGTGATTTCACTCTCGGTTTGACAGTACGAGCTTGTAGCATTTGTCAAGACCTTTCGTTTGATATGCAACATGCCTATGTTATGTCCAGTAACAAAAAAGTTATACGTATTTATACGCATGAGTGATTATGTCTGCCATATTCAAACTCTCCTATCTCAGAAACGGTAAGAGATAGAACCATATAATAATACATTTTCTGTGTCTACTCGCAGAGATCTTTCCATCGGTACATAAATCTAAGGGTTTAATGGACTTTAAAAACCGCTAAAGGGCCATAACTAAAAAACGGCTGAAAATCGAATAGAGAACCCTGGGTCAAAACGAAAGCTTTCGGTTCATTCTATCTTATAACGACATTATCTCAAAAAATTTGAGCGTAAACGGTTGCCCAAACGATGAAAAACCGGTTTATAGCTTAATTGTATTATAAATTTCATTCAAAATCAGTTTACAACTTTCTTTTACATAAGTGTATTATAAATTTCATTCAAAATTAATGTATGTATAAAAAAATAGGAATCTGAAGTGTTCATAAAAATCACAAAATTTGACCAGTTGCTAAGGGCAACCGTTTTTAAAATATGAAATCAGTTAACCGTAGCATGCACTTAAAAGGAATCTCATTAAGGGGTACAATATATAAATTGTTAAAATATGTTAATGCATGCGTAGCAATTTCTGGTTGATGAGTATTTACTTAACGGTCGCTGCGTTGAAAGGATAATAAATTCTTTTTATCTTTTGTGATTAATGAAAAGCTATATTTAGTAACGAAGTATAAAGGGTTTTTGTTCAAAATAGTTCCGCTAGGTATTGTAAATCTAGACTGAGCGACGCCGGTACTTAATGCCTTTTTCTTTTATTGACACCCGTGTAATAAAATAGCTCCTGGTGATTGTGAAATACCGCGACTAAAAATAGATCGGCACATGCGCAGTCTACAAGGACGTTACGCTATGACAATCATTTCCTTACTAAATGTAGGCAAGTAAACAAGTTATATTTGTATAAATATTATTTATTTTGAACATATAAAAAAAATTTGTATTTATTTAAATTTATGAATTAAAATGTTAAGCACGTATCTATTTACAAACATTTCTTTTATCTGTCATGATGGTAATTATCTCTCTGTCTAGGGCCGAGGACCTGACCTACAATGTCCGCGATTCAAGCCCTAAGATCGTGTATACGGGTCAGTTCCGTATACTTCCGGGAGATTAAAAATAGATTTCTAAAAATAGACGAATGATCACATTCTAAAAATAGAGCGATGATGTCATTCTAAATATAGAATCCAATTTGGCGCCGCGCATTCCGCTAGGTATTGTGAATCTAGACTGAGCGGCGGCTGTACTTAATGCCTTTTTCTTTCATTAACACCCGCGTGATAAAATAGCTCCTGGTGATTGTGAAATACCGCGACTAAAAATAGATCGGCACATGCGCAGTCTACAAGGACGCTACGCAATAACAGTCATTTCCTTACTAGATGTAGGTAAGTAAACGAGTTATAATTTATAAATGTATAAATATTATTTTAAACATATTAAAAAATATTTGTTTTTTAATTTATAAATTAAGCACGTATCTATTTACAAACATTTCTTTTATCTGTAATGATGGTAATTATCTCTCCGTCTAGGGCCGAGGACCTGACCTACAATGTCCGCGATTCAAGCCCTAAGATCGTGTATACGAGTCAGCTCCGTATACTTCCGGGAGATTAAAAATAGATTTCTAAAAATAGACGGATGATCACATTCTAAAAATAGAACGATGATGTCATTCTAATTATAAAATCCAATATGGCGTCGCGCATGCGCAGTCGTGACGCCAAACCGGCCCCTATACTACTCCTATTTATACCAAATCTGAGAAAACGAACATAAAAAGGTTCGAAAAATGTTCAACTGTACGTTTTGGTCGGTTGACAATGTTCGACGTTCGAAAACT